ATCAGGTCAACAGGTGTTGCAGCGATGGAAGCGGTCAAGAGAAGTGGTTCAGATAGAAGTGATTGTACCCGACCTAAAAAGCCTCTGCATGTTTCTAATAAGCTCCACGAGCAGAAACGTGCTCAAACTAGGATCAATATTGGAGATGCTTTTGAAAAATGGAGAGAGGTTAGAACACAGAAAGGTTTACAGACCCATGCAGAGCTGGATAAACACTGAAGCTTCAGAGTCCACCACATGGTGACCTGAGTGAGAGGAGGGGGGGGGGGGAGACAGCTCTCTATGATGTTTAGAATTTAGACTGCAGTACCCATTTTAAACACTAGGGGGTATGCTGCTCTTTCAATGTTTTGTATGATAATGTTCCGGCAGCTGTAGATTATGAAGGGAGGAGGATTATTTCTAAACAACAAGCTGAGGAGAGAGCACATGATTAAGACCTGCTTCCTGATTTAGTCTCCTCAGAGTGTGATTAAAACCTCCAGAGTGTGAAATATAAATAATTTGTGTTTGATGTGACTCCAGCATCTGTCACGACAGGCTGCTGCTGCTGAGGTCACACATGCACACACACTAATGTACTAAAATAAAAAAGACACCGTGTTGCACCATCTGCTCTGAGCCTTTCTGGAGCAGTGATGGGTTGAACTAGTTCAGATCTCAAAACATGACTGACAGCTGTGGTTTTTAAATCCGGAGAGCATGCATATGATCGTCAAAAGGTCCACAGGTATGATACGCCCCGCCCCTCAACCCAACTGTGTTTGTCTTAAAGCTTATAACAACACGCTGCTGAGTGAGTACACATGCTAATCATGTTCACACACTCAAACTGTTCATGTTTAACGCACAGGATCTGTTGGAGGAAAGTCAATATTGACCTCTTTGTCTCTCTGTTTTCTGTTTTTTGTCCTCTCAGCGCAGCTTTATTTGCTTTGCTAAATTGCGGCCTCTTGTGTACTCGTGTACATCCTTTTTGTACTGGCATTGAATTACTTGTTCATTTTCTCCCATTTGAACCAAACAGTGTCAGTCTGTTGGGTTGTTGAGTAATGAAGCGCTGAGTATGAATTCCAATGATTTGATTTTACTTACTGATGACTGACCACATGTAGTTCTTTGTTTTGGTTCTCTGCAGTTTCCACCTGATGTAGCTACAGATGGGGATCGGGTCAGATATTGACGTAATTTAAACATCAGATATCGGTGTGTCGCGTTCTTTTTCTTTATTATTGGAGGGCTCCACTGTGTCACGCTGCTATCAGGTCACACTATCACGTTACTGACACATCAGTCAGCTTATCTTAAAAGCTTTATATGTGATTTTTCACACTTAAATATATAAATCAAGTCTCTCCTCTGAAAATAACTCTGTGAGTCATGACTGTCTACAATGGGTGTAACACCCGAGTCCCACTGTCTGTGATGTTTTCACAGTTTTCAGAGTCCTATCTTCAGTTTGTTTACATCGCCAGGACAGCCGGCTGACTCCTCCCCTCGCGTATAAAAGTTGTTTAATTGAGGGACTAGAGAAAAGAAGAATAACATACTGTACTCACTGCTTAACTGTGTTTCTAGATCACGCTCATTTCAGGTCAATTTACATGCAGTGTGAAGATACCAGCATAATAAAGATCACTAGCATTAGCATGCTAACACAACAATGCAGCGTGAGTTGTTTTGGTTTCATGCTGGTGCTCAAGGGCGACATCTGCTGGATCAAAACATCACATATAAAGTCTTTAAGGGTACGGTTGGCTGTGGCTGTGAGATCAGGGTCTACCGTACTATACCGAACTGTAATGAACAAGACCGCTTGGTGGAATCGGGGCTCTACACTCCATAAGTGAAGGAAGGGGAAGCTTCAGTGTTTGAGCTGTAAAAAGCCCTTTTAGAGATATCACATAGCTGTTTTGTTCTGTTTCTTTCTTGGTTCCACTCAACTTAAAACAGTTCGTAGTGAGTCATCTGAAGAATCATTGTCTCGTCTTTGTTGTATTAGAAAGGAGGACTGAGTCCATGTAAACCAGCCAGGGGACAAAAACATTTACAGGAGATGTGACGAGGTCTCGGTCGTCCATGTTGTTTCTTAACGTCTCATTAATCAGCTCTCACACTCTGAGGCTATATTTGGTCATGGGACAGATATTTATCTGGACTCTGAGGTTCAGAGTTGGCTTCATGTCAGACGCTTCACCAGTCTGTTGGTCTGAAACCAAAACAACCAATTAGCTTCAAGTGCTGATCCACTGGTCCGACCATCGCTCCTGAACTAATCACTCAAACTGAACACAGTGACTTTTTGTAACTCCACATGGTGCTAACTCGTCTCTAATCCGATCTGTTCTGTCTCTTCTCAGACTGCCTGTTTAAAGTTTGTCCTATGAGCCGCTACTCGGCACAGAAACAGTTCTGGAAAGCCAAACAAGCCAAACATGAGAAGGACAAGATCGCTGACGTGGTCCTGCTGCAGAAACTCCAGGTAAGAGGCGCGCACAGTAACAGAGGATCAATTTCCACCTGCTACACTATGCTACACATGCTACACATGCTACACCTGCTACACTATGCTACACTATGCTACACATGCTACACCTGCTACACTATGCTACACTATGCTACACATGCTACACATGCTACACCTGCTACACTATGCTACACTATCCTACACATGCTACACTATGCTACACATGCTACACTATGCTACACTATGCTACACATGCTACACATGCTACACTATGCTACACTATCCTACACATGCTACACTATGCTACACATGCTACACATGCTACACATGCTACACCTGCTACACTATGCTACACTATGCTACACTATGCTACACATGCTACACATGCTACACTATGCTACACTATCCTACACATGCTACACTATGCTACACTATCCTACACATGCTACACTATGCTACACATGCTACACTATACTACACTATGCTACAACTAAAATGTGTGTATGACTGTGTGTCTTTGCAGCATGCGTCCAACCTGGAGCAGAAACAGAATGAAACAGAAAACAAGAAAGTTCACGGCGATGTCGTCAAATATGGAACCGTGATGCAGGTAAAAATATGTTTTATTCATTCTTTTAACGAGACACAAAAACAACGACAGGATTGACAAAAGTTTTACAAAGAGACAAAAACTGCTTATAGCTGCAAAAAGACAAAAACTACACAAATTCAAAACAACTGCAAAAGACCCTAAAATGCTTAAAGAAACAAGAGACAAAGCAAAACTACAAAGTGATGCAAAACAAGGAGAAAGAGAACCTCCCCCCCAGCTGCCACCACACAGACACAAATGTTTTCATTAGTTTGTTCTACCACAGCAATAATGAGCCTAAAACCAAACAGTCTGTTGTTGATCATAACAGAACCGACTTATCTTTTGAAATTATTCACACAAATCTGTCAGTTGGATCCGGATCGAGTGCAGCTCTCTTTTAATTTACATTATGACCTGCTGATGAGAACACCCGCTTAGAGGGACCACACGTTCCTGGTGAAACACAAATATTTGCGAGCCAGCTTGGAGAGTTGCAGGTTTATAGCGACCCCGTGTCTCTCCACCAATCAGTGAGCTGCTGTCTGCAGAGAGACGAGTCTCTGTCATGTTACAACATCACTGTCTTCATTTACTGAGGTCAAGAGGTCAAGTTACGCGGAGAGCGCCCTCTGCTGGATCAAACTGTAAACTCCTTCAGACGGCCTGATGTGTCAACAGACTGTACATTTGAAATCTTACGGCTCATTACAGTTTGTAAACTTTCTCCCTCAGGTTCAAATGAATGTCCAAACTTTGAATAAAATCCGTATTACGACAGCAAAGACTCAAAGAGTCACAAAACAAGAACAGAGGGAGGCAACATGTCGGCAAAGACACAAAAAGACTTCTCATAACTGCAAACAGACGCATCATGCAGTAAGGGCAGGTTTATCTTTATTGTCCAGTGTCTCATTATGGTGTCGTTACCAAACCTGCAACAAATTGTCTTCTGTTATTTGCACTCATTAAAGTGCGGTCGTTGTTTTTTTATGAGCATATTTATTCACTTCAAACAGCCAAAGGACAGAAACACAAAGTCAAACAGCTGAGTAAACGTTCATTGACCGGTTATAAACCCTCTGTATGTTCAGCTGCTTTGTGTCTTCACATATCATTCTGCTGCTTCCAAAGAACTTTCTTCTCCGTTTACTTTGAATGCACCGTCACACAATGTGTTCGCAGTGCAGCCAAACAAACATGAAGAAGTCTGTCAGTAATAATTACAACTTCTATCTGATTTCATTGTGCACACACCAGAGGTAGTTTCTCACACAACAGAAGTAAAGAGTCCATCAGTATTAACTCATCCATTCATACACATTCACACACTGATGGTAGAGGCCGCTGAGTAAAGAGTCCATCAGTATTAACTCATCCATTCATACACGTTCACACACTGATGGTAGAGGCTGCTGAGTAAAGAGTCCATCAGTATTAACTCATCCATTCACACACTGATGGTAGAGGCCGCTGAGTAAAGAGTCCATCAGTATTAACTCATCCATTCATACACCGTATTGACGATTCACTGTCTGTTGATGTCAATATTGACCTCGCTTCATGGCTGAAGATCTGTCATCAAAATCAACTCATGCACACGCACACACACCCCCTGACAGTCTGGGTGTGGTTGCTGCTGAGCGATACTGTGTCAGATTGTTATTATACAAATTCCTGTAAGAGAGTTGTGTGTGTGCGTGCGTGCGTGCGTGCGTGCGTGCGTGCGTGCGTGGGTGGGTGGGTGTGACATCGATTTGCAGTTGAACAAATAATAACTGAGCTGCAACTTTAAGGTGTTTAAAAAAGGTGCAGTACATGCAGCGAGCAGCGAGGAGGTTCCTGGTCTGAATCCCTGTCTGACATGTGATAAATTTAGATTAACTGTCAGAGTTTAAAAGTTGTCATGGTTTGTCACCCCTCGCTCTGAAGCACGGAAGAAGATTCTGACAGATTTATAATGGAGAAAAAATAAATGTGAGTTTTCTCCGTCCTCAGTTGCTCCACATGAAGAGTAATAAATATCTGACGGTGAACAAGCGTCTGCCGGCTCTGCTGGAGAAGAACGCCATGCGGGTCACTCTGGACGGGACGGGGAACGAAGGCTCCTGGCTGTTCATCCAGCCCTTCTGGAAGCTCCGCGCCAACGGAGACAACGTAAGGAATACACTTTAAACCACATACACACACACACACACACACACACACACACACATGCATATCTCCGGTCCAGAGGGGGGGTCAGGAGTGGCATCAGGCCCCCAATTGGAATCTAATTGGCCACCCCAAGTACCAATCCAAAATCAAAATCTATGATTGGCTATTTGCCTAAATAGAGGCAGGAGTTTAGGACAAATCCACTATTCTGGCTTTTTTAACAGGCTAATGGTCGTACTTTGAGTTTTAAACAAATTCTTTGTTCTTTCTATAAAAATTCCAAAAGAGAAACTTGTACAGACCGTCTAACTTTTGATGGACTTCCCATAAATGTATTTCTTTTAAGTTACACAGCAGAAGATCTATATGTTGCCAAAGTGTGTTATTGGTGGGAATGGAAAGGGTCAAACATTTCAATTAATCTGCAAGCGTGTGCCCATGAACGTGAGGTGGGCCCCCCCCAGTTAAAAGTCTTGAAACGCCCCTGCTCCAGTCACCATTTTGATTATTAGCAGGCTAAATATCGTAACCTCTTAAAATCCTAAAAGCGATATTTTCTTTTTGCTGCAGGTGGTGGTGGGAGACAAGGTGATCCTGAACCCGGTGAACGCCGGACAGCCGCTTCACGCTTCAAACTACGAACTGACCGACCACCCGGGCTGCAAGGAGGTGAGACACACACACACACACACACACACACACACACACACACACACACACACACACGGTTCTGGTGACCTGCTCTGATACTGCTGCGTCTCCCCCTGCAGGTGAACTCTGTGAACTGCAACACCAGCTGGAAGATCAACCTGTTCATGATGTTCAGCGACCACAGAGAGGAAGTCCTCAAAGGAGTGAGAGACGTTTTATTTTTAAACACTTCTATTTATAAACTGATGGGATTGTAATTATTTATCTACATATGATTATTACTTCAGTTATGTCTGTTCTTCATTGCTGTCGGTCGGCAGTTTTAGATTTTAAAGACCGTTGTCCTGTAAGTGTCTCTCGTGTCGACCAAACTTAAAACACGCTGACTCTCTCTCTCTCTCTCTCTCTCTGTCAGGGCGAAGTCGTTCGTTTGTTTCACGCCGAGCAGGAAAAGTTTCTGACCTGCGACGAGTACAAGAGCAAAGTCCACGTTTTCCTCCGAACCACGCTAAGGCAGTCAGCGACGTCTGCCACCAGCTCCAACGCGCTGTGGGAGGTCGAGGTACTCAGACATACACACACACACACACACACACACACACACACACACACACACACACACACTCACAGTGGTATTAAACATTCTGTGTGTCCGTCAGGTTGTCCATCATGATCCGTGTCGTGGGGGGGCGGGACACTGGAACAGCCTCTATCGCTTCAAACACCTGGCTACAGGAAACTACTTGGCTGCTGAGGTAACCATGGCAACAGTAGAGATTGGAGGGGGAACTTTTAAATGAGTGTGAATATTAAAGGTGACATATCCTCCTCCTCTTCTTCTTCAGTGTAAATAAGTCTCAGAGCTCCTCAAAACATGTGTGTGAAGTTTCTTGTTCTAAATCCACTCTGATCCTGTATCTGATCATGTCTATAAACTCCTCTATTTCAGCCCTGCTCAGAACAGGCTGTTTCTGTGTCTGTACCTTTAAATATGTAAATGAGCTGTGTCTGACCACGCCCCCTCTCTGGAAGGGCTTGGGTGTCTCGCTATTTCTCGCTCCATGTCCTATTGTTTACGGTGAGAAGGCAGACTCGGAGGGCAGAACAAACACCTAGCTGTGGGAGTGTCACCCACCTGGGGGAGGGGCTACTGCCTTTTGTGATGTCATGAAGGGAAAATCTCCAAACGGCCTGTTGTAATACAATTTTGATCTTAAATATTTACAAATTTAGTTAAGTATGTATTTTGTCATGATTACATTTGAACAAAGTTAAAGGCTTAGTTTAGATGAAGAGGTGAAAAGACGTTCAGTCAAGTTCTTAATCGTTATTATCTTTAATTATCTTCACTCATTTATCACCACTTGATCTGATTTGTATTATGGAGTTCTCCTAGTGGACTGACTTGTTGTCGTCGTTGTTTTAGGAGAATCCGGGCTACAAAGGAGACAGCGCAGAGCCTCCGCCCTCCGTGAGTAAATGTTTACACTTTTCCTTTTTTTAAATTTTATTTTTACCTTTAATCAGTTCTTCCTTCTCATCCTCACCCTGACCTCTGACCTCTCTGCAGATCGACGGTAGTCGTAGCAACAAGCGTTCCCATGGTGAGAGGATAAAGTACAAGCTTGTGGCGGTGACTCACGGGAACGACATTGCCTCGCTGTTTGAGCTCGACCCGACAACGCTGCAGAAAACGGACTCTTTCGTACCGCGGTAGGAAAAAACACAGACATGTTTGAAAAACATGAAGAAGCAACGGGACATATCTACATCATAGCAAGGGGACAAAGATATGTATGTTCGACCAGTGGAGACCAAACCCACATATAGATTTGTACACCAATAGGCTGATAGGCACAATGATGGCAGGTGTGGTCAAACTTTTGGTCAAACTGGTGGAAAGACAAACAAAGCTTAGACCGCCGCAGTGTTGAGGAGCGAAGAGATAAAAGATGAAACTGAACAGAATCGATTTTTCTTTTCTTTCAGGAACTCGTACGTAAGACTGAGACACCTGTGCACCAACACGTGGATCCAGAGCACCAACGTCCCCATCGATATCGACGAGGAGAGACCCATCAGACTCATGGTAAGTCCTGTTCCAGGTTGAAAACCACTGCTTTAAATAGATTTATCATTTTTGATGTAGGCGATTTATTTAGTTTGACAGCTTGATGTTAGAATAACATTGAATAATTTCAGCTTATTTTTAAAGGAGCAACATGTAACTCTGACACCTAGTGTTTAAAATGGGTACTGCATTTGTAATTCTTAACATGGTAGAGAGCTGTCTCATAGGGTTTTGTTTTGTGAGTGTGTATGTTAAAGTGAATTCTCCCTGCAGTTGGGAACGTGTCCCACTAAAGAGGATAAGGAGGCGTTCGCCATCGTCTCAGTCCCTGTGATGGAGATCAGAGATCTGGACTTTGCAAACGATGCCAGCGCCATGTTGAGCGTCGTGGTGGACCAGTTCAGCCAGGGCTTCATCAGCCAGAATGACCGCCGGTAAGACACTCTGTGTGTGTGTGTGTGTGTGTGTGTGTGTGTGTGTGTTAAAGATAATAGTACAGTTTCAAAATAAATTGTTTTTTTATCCCTACACATTAGCAGCAAATTTGATCAAAAATATGTCTTAAGCAAGAACCGTTTGGTACGTTTCCACATCTTTATTCTATCTAAAATAAAGAATCAATGCAACCCCTAACCCCTCATTGGAATGATGCCTCCATGGAACAGCTGATCACCATGTGTTGTTGCTTGTCAGGTATGCCATCAAGCTACTGGAGGACGTGGTTTTCTTCGTAGCTGATGTCATCAACAGTGGACAGGCGGTCCTGGACATAGCCATGACCAAAGCCAACCGAGAGAGACAGAAACTGATGAGAGAACAGAACATCCTCAAACAGGTGGGATCCAGTACTTACTCAAGTTCTTACCCTCCAAGAGTCTGGAGTCTAGAGACGGAAAAGTTGAACAATAAAGTCATGTATTATCCCTTTACTTCTGTTTGTGATGTTTATTCAGATCTTCGGCATCCTGAAGGCTCCCTTTAAAGATCGTGGGGGAGGGGAGGGTCCTCTGCTGCGATTGGAGGAGCTGGCAGACCAGAAGAACTCTCCCTATCAGTACATGTTCAGACTCTGCTACAGAGTCCTTCGACACTCCCAGGAGGACTATCGTAAGAACCAGGTAATAAAGAAGAAGAGGACATGTTGATGTGACCCCCCCAATCATCCAACCAAATGTGTTCACTTACCTGGATGTTTCCGGTCTCAAAGGTTCTTTACTACGTCAGATTCTCGTTCCTTTGCACTGTTTTGATACAACTTTATGCTGATGTTGTCTATCGTTGATCAGTACAACAAACTGAAACCCTATTTAGACTGACTGGTCAAAGTGATATTGAAAACCCCTGAAACGTCCCTCCTCCAGGACAATATGAATGTCACAGAGGTGTAATGGGGGGATGCAATGATCCCCCTCAGTACCGCAATCAGAGGTAGTAAAAGAGGCGTTTAATCGGCAGTGCGGGAGAACAGTGTGGTGTTCAGTTAGTCCTTAAAGTCTCTCCATCTACATTTAGCTCTATCAAGGGGGAGAGAACAATAATCTGATGTAGGTTTAAAGCTCCAAAAAAGCTACTAAAGGATCTTGATTTAAGAGATCCCTCGCCGCTCATATGGTTAGGAATTACCTCTGAAGCTCGTTGATGATGTAGATGATGTAGATGCTACAAGTGATGCTAAAGGGTGACACGCTAACCTTCCTCCCACCTCCAGGAGCACATAGCGAAGCAGTTTGGTGTGATGCAGAGTCAGATCGGTTATGACATCCTGGCTGAGGACACCATCACTGGCCTGCTGCACAACAACCGAAAACTGCTGGAGAAACATATCACCAAGACCGAGGTCGAGACCTTCGTCAGTCTGGTCCGCAAGAACAGAGAGCCCAGGTACTCATGGCGAGGGAAGCAGGGAAGAGCGATGGTCCGTATGTTGTTGTGCTGACTTCCAATGTGTCATTTCTGTGTTGTGTTTGTGCAGGTTTCTGGACTACTTGTCTGATCTGTGTGTGTCCAACAACGTAGCCATCCCCGTCACTCAGGAGCTCATCTGCAAATGTGTGCTCGAACCCAAAAACCAGGACATCCTCATCAAGACAGAGTGAGAAGGGAGGGAGGATCACCTTCCATTAGAAACTTTAAGAAAGGATACAATGATTTTATTCATGGCATTTAGAGAGTTGAATGTGATTCAAAAGCTGAGCTCCTTCTGGGAGTAATAAGTCTGTTATTTGTTGTTAGTTCTGAGACAAACACACTCATTACACTTATTAATGCAGCGTGTATTGTATTGCAAGCTGATTGAAAGCTGTGCTGGGATACATAGCTACCGTAGAAGAGTAAGACTGGCTGCTCAACTTTTTCGCATCTTTATCTTTTTTTTAAAGTAGAACGAGTTCTTTCTGGTCGTCATCATATGCTCACAAGTTTAAGATGTTTTGGTTCTATAAATACACAAATATCAAAATGTTTTTATTAAATTCAGAGAAAGACAAATAGGTGTGCTTATCTGTTAGATTATACATGTTAATAAAGTAACCAATACACACTAATCCCTCTTCACTCAGTGCCCCAACTTCACATGATTTCTGTTTCACTTCATCTAGACGGCGGGTCCCCAAAGAAGCGCCCACTGGTGGGGTTCAAGGAGAATACATGGGGATGGATGACTATGGAGATGAGGATGAGGTAGATATGCCTGCATCATTTTTTAAACATCAGTTGGTTTATGCTATTTCTTTTTTTTTTTTTTAGCTACAATGACGGATACTGCAAAACAAGAGAGAACCCTTTTTTCAGCTCCAGTTGTGTGTTGGTGTGTTTGCTGCACAAGAACAAAAAACAAAGAGGAGGAGACAATTGATTCAATCCCACATTTTTCTAATGTGTGATTAAAAAATATTTTAGTCCTTCTGTACTCCCCTTTGATACTTCTCCTTTTAATGTATCTGCTAATGGGTCTGGTACTCTTCTGATACTTCCGGTTTTGTTTGTGCTTGGCTATTTTGGTTTAAGTAAGCATGTCTAAAGAAGTTGTATTTCTATTCGTTTTAGTGTCTTATTAGTCTGAAGGTTGTTTTTAACTTCATTTGCTGTCTCCATTAGTTATTATTGCAGAGAAAATATTTGTTCTCTTCACCATAGAAAGAGAAAAACTGGAAGAAAAGTTCCATATAATGATTGTCTTATTGGTTCGGTTTTACTTTTCTCTTTTATTAGGTATGGCTGGTATGGACAGACAAAACCAATGAAAGACAGGAGAAGGGCATCAGACAGCTAGCCCAGGAGGCAAGACAAGGAAATGCTCACGATGAAAATGTCCTCACCTATTACAGGTAGGCAAACACGGCACACAAGGACATCCTCAGAAAATGTCATAATAATCTTACAGTTAACTCTCAATTTATTGTAGATAAAGCATCAAATGTCAAATGGGAAAACAATCATTGTCATGTCTTTCTGTCCCTATGGACACCCTTAGGTACCAGCTGAAGCTCTTTGCCCGGATGTGTCTGGACCGTCAGTATCTAGCCATAGATGAGATATCAAAGCAGCTGGATGTAGAGCTCATCTTCCTGTGTATGATGGACGAAACACTGCCCTTTGACCTCCGGGCCTCTTTCTGTCGCCTTATGCTCCACGCCCATGTGGACCGAGATCCTCAAGAGTTGGTGACACCTGTCAAGTTTGCACGCCTCTGGACAGAGATCCCCAGCTCGATCACCATCAAAGAGTTAGTAGATTTTACTTGGCAAAACGTATTGGTTTTTTTAAAAATTGTCATGTCTTCAAGTGACTTTTACTGTCCTAATGCTGATAAACAACCTAGGTTAATCTGTGGCTGTATGTATTGGACTCTCGGGTGAAGAGAGGAGTTTTCAAATGATTACCACCTGGTGGTGAGTTGGATCAGATGGTGGGGAAGACTGCAATACATTTGGATTTTAAGTCTGGGCGATTTCTTGTCTCCAGAGGGTGTGCGTCTCAAAGCCTGCACAGCTCAGTTGGTAGAGCATCAGAGTTTTAATCACAGGGTCCAGGGTTCAAGTCCCTGTTCAGGTGTCAAAACTATCATTTAATCAGTCAGCAATGGTCCTTCCTTGTGTCCTAGGGGGAAGGATCTTTGAGCCCACCTGTAGACTAGTTGAATTGGAGATTGGGGGTGCGTTCGAATTGTCTCTCCTATCTCCTTTCACGATCCACTTCACCTTTAACCCCGGAAGCATTTAAGTGGCGGCCATGATAAGAGCCGTTTGAATTCTCTAAAAGTTAAGGAAAGGTGGGTCAGTGCTTCCTTTATAACCTCCTTTCGGATACACTGGACCATCCTTTACGAAAGGAGATGAGATATGACGTCCCACAATTCCTTGCGGCCTCAACATTTAAAGCGAGTTGCTCATCCGACCGTTCACGAACATTAACGATGACAGAAAAGGGAGTTAATGTAAGTTACCATCGCAATAATATGCCTTGAACAACTTTCAACAATCTTTAACCCGTAGGAGAACTATGAACGTTATGCTGATGTTGTAACGATCAAAGTGAGTTAAACTTTCATTGCAGCCTATGCTCAGTTTGTATTTGTTATTTATCCACTTTGTGTGTTTTGGCAGCCGTAAGCAATATCATAAATCAGGTTAAATATTCCTTCAGTCACAGATGCTGAAACCCTTGCCTTGATTAAGGTTCTTGAGATACTATGCAAAGCCATATAATCACGATATAATCACCATAAAAAACATCACCCTGTCTTTCAGGTAAAAAGGGATCAGAGACATTTTTATCAGATGATGTTTAGTCAACATAATTCATTCAATTCAGAATGTTTTGTGCATTTCTTCAGTTGTACATTCTTGTCTTGCTTAAATGTAACAATTAATTTCATACTTATTTTGATGTTGATTTCTGATTGGACAGGAATGTGATGGTTTCACTTTTTTTACTCGTAGTCTGGTAGTCTATATTGCTTTTATTTCAATCCCATCCTTGTGGTGATTAGTAGTATTTCACCAGTAAGAAGCACAGGGGAAAGTTATTTAGACAAGTTTTTAGTAGTCCATTTTCGGAACATTGTAGTTTCAACACGGCGGACCCGTCGCATTTAATGACGTCGCCTAGTGGAAATGTGGTTGGATTGTCAGAGCAACGACATCGCCTTTCCCAAAGTCCTTTATGGATTCTCCTTGCATCTTTCCTTAACCTCATGACATTTTCCCCGGGGTTGAGGTAAAGTGGCTAGTGAAAGGAGATAGGAGGGACAATTCAAACGCACCCATGGACAGTCTTTCACTTGTAACTACCCGTTTAATGAACACATGTATTTCTTGGATTATTGATGGTACTCTCGATAAAATGCTTTATTATTCATGAAATACATGTGGATTTTAAGTCCGATTAATCGTTATCTCCAGAGGGGATAGGGTTCAAGTCCATGTTCAGGTGTCAAAGCATTTATTAAATCAGTTAACAGTGCTCCTTCTTTGTGGCCCTCGGAGACCGATCTTGGAACCCACCTGTTGAATTGGAGATGAGAACAGTCTTTCACTTGAAACTGCTACCAATTTACTAAACACATTTCTTGGTTTGTAGATGGCACTATCCATAAGATGCGACTGGTGTCTCCAGAGGGTGAACTTTTCCAAGCCTGTGTAGCTCAGTCGGTAGAGCATCAGACTTTTAATCTGAGGGTCCAGGGTTCAAGTCCCTGCTCAGGTGTCAAAGTTGTGATTTAATCAGTCAGCAGTGCTCCTTCCCTGTGGCCTTCAGAGACCGATCGTGGAACCCACCCATAGATTTGTTGAATTGGAGATTGGAACAGTCTTTCACTTGTAACTGCTACCAATTTACTAAATACATGTGGATTTGAAGTCCGGGCGACTGGTGTCTCCAGAGGGTGTGCTTCTCAAAGCCTGTGCATTCATTAAATCAGTCAACAGTGCTCCTTCTTTGTGGCCCTCGGAGACCGATCTTGGAACCCACCTGTAGATTTGTTGAATTAGAGATGAGAACAGTCTTTCACTTGTAACTGCTACCGATTTACTAAACACATTTCTTGGTTTGTAGATGGCACTATCCATAAGATGCTTTATTATTCACTACATGTGGATACATGTGGATTTTAAGTTCGGGCGATCTTCATCTCTAGAGGTTGTGCTTGTCGAAGCCTGTGTAGCTCAGTCAGTAGAGCATCAGACTTTTAATCTGAGGGTCCAGGGTTCAAGTGCCTGCTCAGGTGTCAAAGTTGTCATTTAATCAGTCAGCAGTGCTCCTTCCCTGTGGCCTTCAGAGACCGATCGTGGAACCCACCCATAGATTTGTTGAATTGGAGATTGGAACAGTCTTTCACTTGTAACTGCTACCAATTTACTAAATACATGTGGATTTTAAGTCCGGGCGACTGGTGTCTCCAGAGGGTGTGCTTCTCAAAGCCTGTGCATTCATTAAATCAGTCAACAGTGCTCCTTCTTTGTGGCCCTCGGAGACCGATCTTGGAACCCACCTGTAGATTTGTTGAATTAGAGATGAGAACAGTCTTTCACTTGTAACTGCTACCGATTTACTAAACACATTTCTTGGTTTGTAGATGGCACTATCCATAAGATGCTTTATTATTCACTACATGTGGATACATGTGGATTTTAAGTTCGGGCGATCTTCATCTTTAGAGGTTGTGCTTGTCGAAGCCTGTGTAGCTCAGTCGGTAGAGCATCAGACTTTTAATCTGAGGGTCCAGGGTTCAAGTCCCTGTTCAGGTGTCAAAGCTGTCATTTAATCAGTCAACAGTGCTCCTTACCTGTGGCCTATGGAGGCCAATTGTGGAACCCACCCTGCGGCTACCAATTTATTGAACACATGTATTTCTTGCTTTGTTGATGGCACTGTCCATAAGATGCGACTGATGTCTCCAGAGGGTGAGCTTTTCCAAGCCTGTGTAGCTCAGTCGGTAGAGCATCAGACTTTTAATCTGAGGGTCCAGGGTTCAAGTCCCTGCTCAGGTGTCAAAGTTGTGATTTAATCAGTCAACAGTGCTCCTTCTTTGTGGCCCTCGGAGACCGATCTTGGAACCCACCTGTTGAATTGGAGATGAGAACAGTCTTTCACTTGTAACTGCTACCAATTTACTAAATACATGTGGATTTTAAGTCCGGGCGACTGGTGTCTCCAGAGGGTGAGCTTTTCCAAGCCTGTGTAGCTCAGTCAGTAGAGCATCAGACTTTTAATCTGAGGGTCCATGGTTCAAGTCCTTGTTCAGGTGTCAAAGCTGTCATTTAATCAGTCAACAGTGCTCCTTACCTGTGTCCTTCAGAGACCGATTGTGGAACCCACCCTTTGAATTGGAGATTGGAACAGTCGTTCCCTTGTAACTGCTACCAATTTACTGAACGCATGTATTTCTTGCTTTGTTGATGGCACTGTCCATAAGATGCGACTGGTGTCTCCAGAGGGTGAGCTTTTCCAAGCCTGTGTAGCTCAGTCGGTAGAGCATCAGACTTTTAATCTGAGGGTCCACAGTTCAATTCCCTGCTCAGGTGTCAAAGTTGTGATTTAATCAGTCAACAGTGCTCCTTACCTGTGGCCTATGGAGGCCAATCTTGGAACCCACCTGGAGATTTGTTGAATTGGAGATTGGAACAGTCTTTCCCTTGTAACTGCTACCAATTTACTGAACGCATGTATTTCTTGCTTTGTTGATGGCACTGTCCATAAGATGCGACTGGTGTCTCAAGAGAGTGTGCTTCTCAAAGCCTGTGTAGCTCAGTCGGTAGAGCATCAGACTTTTAATCTGAGGGTCCAGGGTTCAAGTCCCTGTTCAGGTGTCAAAGCTGTCATTTAATCAGTCAACAGTGCTCCTTACCTGTGGCCTATGGAGGCCAATCTTGGAACCCATCTGTAGATTTGTTGAATTGGAGATTGGAACAGTCTTTCACTTGTAACTGCTACCAATTTACTAAATACATGTGGATTTTAAGTCCAGGCGACTGGTGTCTCCAGAGAGTGTGCTTCTCAAAGCCTGTGTAGCTCAGTCGGTAGAGCATCAGACTTTTAATCTGAGGGTCCAGGGTTCAAGTCCTGTTCAGGTGTCAAAGCATTCATTAAATCAGTCAACAGTGCTCCTTCTTTGTGGCCCTCCGAGACCGATCTTGGAACCCACCTGTCTAATTGGAGATGAGAACAGTCTTTCGCTTGAAACTGCTACCAATTTACCAAACACATTTCTTGGTTTGTAGATGGCACTATCCATAAGATACTTTATTGTTCACTAATACATGTGGATTTTAAGTCCAGGCGACTGGTGTCTCCAGAGAGTGTGCTTGTCAAAGCCTGTGTAGCTCAGTCGGTAGAGCATCAGACTTTTAATCTGAGGGTCCAGGGTTCAAGTCCCTGTTCAGGTGTCAAAGCTGTCATTTAATCAGTCAACAGTGCTCCTTCTTTGTGGCCCTCGAGACCGATCTTGGAACCCACCTGTTGAATTGGAGATGAGAACAGTCTTTCACTTGAAACTGCTACCAATTTACTAAACACATTTCTTGGTTTGTAGATGGCACTATCCATAAGATGCTTTATTATTCACTAAATACATGTGGATTTTAAGTTTGGGCGATCTTTATCTCTAGAGGTTGTGCTTGTCGAAGCCTGTGTAGCTCAGTCGGTAGAGCATCAGACTTTTAATCTGAGGGTCCAAGTCCCTGCTCAGGTGTCAAAGTTGTCATTTAATCAGTCAACAGTGCTCCT